AGGCTATGGTCAAACAGGAAACACTGCATTTTTTCCCCTACTAATCCTAGACCATACCACTCCTAGCAGCAGATGTGCCATGTTCAGACTTCAATATCATTTTATTTGGGGCGTATGTGGTGATTCTATTTTTATTTTGATAAAGGTGGGACATAATGTCTTCCATAGTTTACAAAAGAGGAGTCAAACCCTTCATATAGTTTTAGACCTAATTTCTACATGTTTTAGACAATTCCCTTTTACTTCCTTTGCCTTGTTTAGATTTTGAAGTTATTTTGTACTCTGTTTCAATCTTCTTTTGTCCTTGTTATGCAGGAATTTGCAATAAATTTATCTACTACTAGTAACTAGTATATTCTCTGAATAAGATAAGCGTTGTTGACTTTTCAGTAGAATTTTCACGTCTTTCCGCAATCCGTGCCTATAATTATAATATTTCTATCAGGACGTTGACAAGAAAAACCACGGTAGCTGGACACCACTGATGTACGCCTGCTACTTTTAGTTGCCAGTGGCCAATGGACCACCTTTAATTTCAAGCCCTGGCTACCTGAAACGTCTGACTGTTTCCCAAATCATATCCTGTTGCTTGAGTAGCTGTTTTTTTCCCATTACAAGCCTATAATGATATTTTTTATCATCAGGACCTTGATAAGAAGAACCACGGCAGCTGGACACCCCTGATGTACGCCTGCTACATTGGACATGACAACATCGTCAATCTGCTTCTGGACGCTGGCGTGGACGTGAACCTGAAGTCTGCAAAGGGCCAGACGCCGCTGATCCTGGCCGCCAGCTGCGGGAACGAGAGCGTGGCGTACTTCCTGTTACAGCAGGGCGCAGACCTCACAGGGAAGGATAGGCGGGGATGGTCAGTTTATTTGTTTATTTGGATTTTCCACAAAGTGAAAGGGATTCGGCAAAACAGGCCTAGATGTTTGCGCACCTTTACAGATTGCCCTCTCCCATACAAAAAACACAATATGTGTATATACATAGTCAAAGTCAGCAATATTCAAAAATAGTTTTATACACAAAACAGACGATAAATCAGTAAAGTTAACCGTAATATTCAAAATACTTCTAGAGCAATATCTGAAAGAATAAATCATGTTAAAACAGGAACTTTGTGAGGTCTAGAGGCAATGCAAGAACTACATAGAAGGTCAAAACTGGAACATCAATGTTGTAAACTGCACAGTGCCACTAAACCTGTTACACAAGTGTTTTAACACTAAAAGTATGACCTATGTACATTTGTAATTGTAGATTGACAGTTGACCTTACCTGTTGTTTGCAGGTCTGCGCTGTTCCACGCCACCAACGCCGGTCACCAGAACATGGTGAAGTTCCTGCTGGAGGAGGGGGCAGACACAGAGTCACGCGAGCCAACGCTAGGTCTGTGGCTTATTTTATATGTTATCTTCATTATATAAAACGACATAGTATACATGTACATTAAAAAGAAAGAACTGAGTAAGCTGAGTCTTCAACATATCGAATTTGAGAAAATTTGAGAAATGGAAAATTTGAGAGAAAAATCCATTATCTCCATGTCAAAACTGGTCATTTTTTGTCTACAACAAATCCCATCTTCTGGAATTGTTCCACAAAACTGACTGATAATCAATAAATTATTCTTAGAAAGTGATAAAGCTTTTAGCTTATTTTGTAACTTTTAGTGGGCTTCCCTCAATACTTATGGTATAATTCTACTAACAGTTGTGCATTTAGATTTTGTGATGATTGGCCATTATGTTTTGCTGTCTAACTCAGATCTCACACCGCAGTTTCTGCTGTTTGTTGCAGGTCTCACACCGCTGTGCCTGGCTGCGGGGGAGGGCCACGAGATCATCGTGCAGACCCTGCTGGACCACGGTGCGAACGTGAACGCACAGAGCTACAACGGAGACACGCCCCGCATGCTGGCACTCATCAACGGACACTCCAAGATAGTGGGTCTGTATATGTGTCATTCTGTATCTGTATAGCCCGGGAATTTTTGATCACCTCAATTCTTGGTTTATAACTCTGGTACTTGAAGGCACATCTATGCCCACATTTCTGGAAACCCTTGGGAAAACCTGTCTACCCCGGATGCCCTACTTTCTGTGACCCTGGTGCTCGTTCACTATACACTCGGGGAGGAGTGCACTGTATCTGTCTAGACTTAACAGGTACCAAGTCTTCCTCAAAATCATGAATAATTCCAGAGCAATAAACCTAACAGCAACCACCATCGCCATGGCAATGTATATTTTCATTGCCAGTCTTGTTTCGTTGTGTTCCAGGTCTGGAACACTATATTATAATGCTAATTGCTAGGAATCTATACATTACAACAATACTATATACTACTTATCATCTACTGTTAGTTGCCCTTTCTTCTCTCTTTTTGAAACATTTGGAAACATAATTACATAGTTTGTCTACAATAAAGAACTCTAAAGTCTGGACATTTTTTGTTCTGTGTTCCAGGTCTGATTGACACGTTCACGGCCCAGCCCGGCACCAGCCTCCGAGCCGCGCCCGGACTCGGCGGAGACAACGGGAACAACGACGGCGACCTCAGCTCCTCCGACGAGTTCAAGGGTCACCGGAAGCCGCCCCGCAGCCACCATCGCAGCTCGCGCGCCCGCCGAACACCGAGCATACGGGACGGGCCGGCGGAGTTCGCACGCAAGACTGGAATCCCTGTCCAACCTCAACAGGTAGATTTACTACATACTAACTAGAAATATCTGTTCTTTAGTTAACCCTTTTCCTGCTGAGCCCATTTGTAAATATATAGATACTTCATGGTACGGCCCAGGCTTCCATAGAACAATTTGAGTGCATTTTGCCCTAACCACGTGCGACGCTTTCAAAAATTTTACAGAATTCGTATGTTGGAATTAATGTTGTTGCGTTTTCTTGGGTGGCTATGACATAATATATATATATATGGGTTGCACATAGTATATACACGCAATTTAGGGGCATTTCTTGTGCAACGCATCACTCTGCGGCGAAACACAATGAATGCGGAAGTACATGTAACTACACCACTGCAGGGCAAAAAAAGTCAAGGGTCTATGACCTGGTTAAGACATCAAATTGTTGTGTAAAAATTGCCAGCAAGACAAGGGTTAAACTTCATGCCTTATAAAATATGCCATAACATTCTAATTGTCTAACTGAAACCCAGCGTTGACCATGAATTTGCATCTTGGAATTTTCTTCACTTTCTACAGAAAGGAAAATCAACCCAGCCTGCCCCCCCATCCACCAAACCCGCTCAGAACCAGTCAGTACCAAACAGCCCCGGCGTGCCCAGTGGGTATGTGACGTTTCAGGATGAGTGGTCCGGTGAGAAGGAGGAGGAGGGGGAGATATGCTTCCGTGATGTCATCTCACCCATCAACGTCAGCGAACACGATCTGGACAGCTCGGGCGGACAGGGGGAGGTCGGCTTGTTTGTTTATTTGTTAGAATGATCTGTTATGTAATAGTATGTTTATCTGAAGAGTAACTGACACTGTTAACTGTTACCTGTTCCGAATTGTTGGGTAGTCCTGGCTGTATACATATGTCTTATTCAGCCTAATAAATAAAATAAAATCAAATCTTAATTAGCAATATGCCTGGATCAAAAATGACCTTGACAGTTCAGAGGAGAAAGGGTTTGTTTTTTTTGTTTGTTTATTGGGAATCTCATTATTACTAGCAATACAAAATGCATACATTATATTCTTCCTGAAGAAAAATGAAATACAAAATAAAATTATGAAATTCTACTTGAACTAGAACAATAAAAGCTAAAATGAGTAAATCTATATATACTATTACATTCAGGTGGGGTGTATAGTATGTTTCTGGTACCAAAGGTTTGGGAACACCAACAAAGGCCTGGTCGGAGTATATCAAGAAGGGACTTTAGAGAGTGCGGCCTTGCTGGTGTAAACCCACTGGATCATAAGGGCCACCTGGAGGTGCGGTGTCAGGGACACCTGCAGTAGAATATTAATCAAAACCTGGATGTTTTCTTGCACCTGGCAGGTCCAGACAGGAGACCCAGGGAACACGTTGGATGAGCAGTGTGCCTTCGCTCTGTCCAATGCTCTCACCATCAAGAGCAGCAGCAGCAGCAGTGGAGATCTGGAGAAGGCTCTAGCACTGAACCAGGAGCAGCCAGCAGAGCAGCAGCCATCATGGCACCAGGTGGGGGAGTTGTTGTGTACTTTTGCTTCCTTCAATTTGTGCATCTAGTACTTTCTTCACTTTGGGCTTTGCTCTTTTATCTGTAGTCGGTACAACTGCCCTTTGGCACAACATACCTCTTGTCTCAGAAAATCACACCCACCTATTATGAATCATCTCCAGACCTGTACATAGATGTATGTACATCTATAGTTACTGTAGACTCATGTTGACTGAATGTTTGATCCCTATACATGTATGTACAAAACAAAATGCTACTGAGATACTATTGCAGCCAAATTCTAAGCTCATATTAACTCTACCTGTCTAATATAGTATAGATTTTGTGCCATATGAAAGTACCATATGACCATTCTAGAGCAAAAATATTTCATATTTATCAGTATGCCAACATCATCTTTGATACATAATTATTATATTATACATTTCTACTATAATTATAATAATGATAGTAGACTATATTCATGTACATTTCATGTGCTGATTTTGAACTTTGCCCCAGGTGTACCAGCCGGCTCAGGTGCCCCCCTCCATGCCGGACCCCCCTCTGGAGGTGCTACCCCCCCTGCCTGCCAACATCCTCACAACCAGCCCCCCTGCACAGGACTCTGAGGGCAGTACAGAGGTAGGGGCACATCTCAGAATGTATTGTACATGTATGTAAAAACTAGCCTTTAGCTTCATTTCGTACAGGTCAAATTTCACACTTCCGCAGACTACAAACACTGCTTGTGCCATGGGTGACCAATTGCAACTTACTCTTAGGACACCCAGTGACTTTAAAACATGCACACATTTGAATGTATTATTAAACTGACTGTTGGTGGAAAATGATGTATATACCCCATGATACATGGCAGGCAGATCATATATGTCTCTCACAGTAAATTTAACAGCTACTGTAACTGCTACAGTGCTACATGTACAACTTTACTATACAACTATGGACCTGAATTTATTAAACGTTTTGAATGTCTGCAAATTTCTCCTTGTGAACCCTGCATTGTATACACTTATATTTGCTCAATCATGTCTGCTCTAGACTGACTGACAGGAACTAAAAAATTGATATACTCCTACTGCAGGTGTACCAGCCTCCTAAGGACCTTCTGGAGCTGCTGAACAACATCCAGTGTGCCAAGTACCACCCTGTGTTTGAGGATCAGGACATAGACCTACACGTGTTTCTCACACTCACTGATAATGACCTAAAGGAGGTGAGTGGAATCAAGCGAAGTGAACATTGTATATACATGTACATGTAGGAAATTGCTGTAGCTCACATTAAAGTATTTCTCCTTCAATTACTTCAAAATTTTCTTCGGGAAGAGTGAATGTGAAAAAATTAATTTTCCAAAAAAAAGTTTTTCACTTGAAATTTTTCACTTTTCAAAAAACTAAAAATTTTTTTCACCAAAAATTTTTTGACTAAAAATTTTTTTCACTAAACATTTTTCTTACTAAAAATTTTTTTTACTAAAAATTTGTTCACTGAAAAATTGTTTCACTTTAAAAAAGAATTTTCACAATAAATTTTTCTCTATTTTCACTTTAAAAACTTCTTTTCAAAGAAAATTTCTTATTTCCAACAGATTGGGATCAAGCTGATGGGGCCGCGGCGAAAGATGACGTCAGCGATCGCCCGTTACCACAGCCATGCCCGGTTACACATGACGGGACCGGAGCACGCCTACGCAGACAAGCTGGAGTCCGAGATGCAGGAGATGGCCATGCAGCTGCACAGGGTACAGTAGCAGTAGTACTGTAGTAGTCGTAGTCTTAGTAGTAGCATTAGTAGCACAGTAGTCGTAGTAGTAGTAGTAGTAGTAGCAGAAGCAGCAGTAGTAGTAGTAGTAGTTACTGTAGTAGTAGCAGTAGTTGTAGTAGTACATGTGTAGTAGTTACAGTACTAGTTAGTACACATGACGGGGCCGGAGCACGCATACGCTGACAAGCTGGAGAGCGAGATGCAGGAAATGGCCATGCAGCTACACAGGGTACGGTAGTACAGGGCTCAAAATTAACTTAAGGGTGTCCCGACGGCCACTGACCATTAGAATTTAGGCCCGGACAACTAGAAAGTCACTTTGGGACATTTTTGGGACAATAGAAAAATAATCAACATCAGAATGTCAGCCCTTCTTTTGTTGGTCAGTCATGCAGTCCAGGTTTTGGCTCTAGAAAAGCACCCCAAATTTCTTGTGTTCTTTGCAATTTTACCACACCTACAAGTCAGAACATAAGCAAAATAATGTTGACTTCGAGTTAAAGTCATATAATACTTCCCGAAAAACAGGTTGGGACAGTTCATGCTCACTTCAGGACAACTGAAATTTATTTTTTAGCTGGGACAATAGGAAGAAAAGTTAATTTTGAAGCCTGGTAGTAGTTCTACATTTCCGGCTGTGGATGCACAAAGGACATGCACGCTACTGGAAGAAAGGGTCGCAGTGTCTTGGACTAGGCAAATTTCCAGGGCCATTATAAACAAGCGTAGATAACATAGCATCTGTTTTCTCTCTGTCACAGGTGTATGCGCAGGCAGAACAGCTGAAGGAGCAGGTGCTACAGGAACGAGAGCTGAGGGGCGTGGTCGAGGGCTGCCTCATGGAGGACAAGGCTGCCTGGCATCGCGTCAGACAGGTGGGTGGGAAGATTTTATAATAACATGTACAATGTAACCTGAAAATATTCTGTACATTGCAGTTACTAAGTACAGGCTGAGTAAAGGACTGACTGAACTATTGGGACTACCTTCAAAATTTTAAGCTGAACTATATCAACCTTGTTGATGGAACGAAAAAAATGGATTATATTTTAGTCGATTATGTGCTTAACCAACACAGATAAACTTCTAAGCTACATACGTAGCTGCTTGTTTATTGATAACGCACCAGTATTGGCAGGGCTCGAAATTAAAGGTGGTCCAGTGGCCACTAAAATTTAGGCTGGGACAACTAACACTTTTGGGACAATAGAAAAATATCAACATTATTCAGAACGTCAGCCCTACTTTTGTTTATCAGGTACATGTCCCGGCTTTTGAATCTGAAAATTTCCCCCCAAATTTCCTGTCTACACAGCAATTATAGTGCACCTGGGAGTGAACATAAGCAAAACAAAGACAGTTAGTTGACTTCAAGTTGAAGTCATACAATACTTCCGGGTAATTCCTGAAAAACAGGTTGGGACAGTTCATCCTAACTTCGGGACAATTGAAATTTATTTTTGGGGCAGTGCTGGGACAATGGGAAGAAAATTTAATTTTGAGGCCTGAATGATTGGATCCTATGATCTTGCCGGCGCAGGTTGCCACGGAGACTCGTGAGCTGTGTAGCGACGTGCGACTGCTGGTTCACCAGGTCAGGATGTGTCAGGACGAGTTCTCCAGAAAACTTCTGCCAGAGGCCGACAGTGGTGAGCTTTTATGTTCAAACTTCGCAGAACATTATGAAAGTCCATCTGTGTTCAAATTGGTAGTTACATGTTCAAAGTTAAAACCTTTGGTCCAACATAATAAAGTTCTCTCACCTAGAGCTTTCGACCAGTCACTCTGGTCTTCCTCAGTAGACTGACCTAGTGAGACTTGTCACGTAGCTTTTCTGAAGTGTGACGTCAGCTACTGAAGATGACCAGAGTGACTGCAGTGGTCGAAATCTCTAGTTGAGAGAACTTAATTTTGTTGGATATAAAGTTTTAACTTTAATACAACACAGCACATTTTTTTCCTCTATATCTTTTTCTTTCCCAAACAAATAAGGTCAGTGGCCTGCATGAACCCAATTGCTGTCACCATTGTAACTGGTGCTGTAGCAGACACCCTGTGGTTTTGGGGTTGCATTATGCAGCAAGTTGTAGGACAGAGTTCGAAGGAGCTGCTCACCATGTGTTTGTGCAACATCATGTCTGTGCAACTTCATGTCTGTTCAACTTTATGTCTGTTCAACATCATGATACTGGCTCATGGAGGCATATGAATATTTGTCAAAAGCTAAATAGTATTGAAGTTGAACACAACTAAGGAATGTCAATGTAAGATTGTCACATTGCTGTTGGTTTTACCTTTTTCAGCCCAGCCTCCTGATGATCGGTACATCCACCCCAGTCCTGCAGGAACAGGACAGCCTGCTAACAACGACAACAGGTTCCCGGGTAAGTCTGACGGTCACTTAACAAGGCAAGCAGGGGTGGCAGATTTCACCCCCTTACCCATACTGCTTTGTTAACCTCCCAGTCAAACAGGCAAAAGTTGAGTACTGAAGGTGTATGCCAGTGCTGTATCATGAAAACAGATGAGCCAAAAATTATCACTCATTTGGAAATGAAATTTTCTCAACTTCTGACTGATTCTCTCTAGTTGAGGCGCATGGATATACGAGGCTTTAAAACTTTACAAATTTATAATATTTATTTATGCAAGGCTTTATGATTATAATTCTGTATGAGCTTTACTTTTTTTCAAAAGTGTTGACTAGTTCTGCCTTTACATTGTAGCGATGCTGGAGAAGAGTGGTGGATGTCCATATTGTCTAATACATGTTTGTAGTATGTAACTGTCTATGGGTGATGTTAACCTAGATATAACCGTCATGAAGGTACAATCTTTATTTTTCTGCAGAAGATGCCCCCTCCCCAGAAGACGGTGACCCGGGCGCCGACCCTGCCCCGCTGTTGCCGCGGGTTACGCTGATCTCGAGCGGCCAGCTGCGGGAGATGGGGGCCGCGGAGCTGCAGAAGACCATGTCAGAGTTCATGGGTCAAATGGACGTGATCGTGGGGAGGGCCATGGGGGGCATGGAGCAGCTGCTGGGACCACACCAGCTGTCAGGGTCACCCGGGTCATCAGGGTCATCCAAGTCTGGGTGACCTGGGTCCCCTGGGTCATGGGTCAGCCAGGTCATGGGTCACCCGGGTCATCAGGGTCATCCAAGTGTGGGTGATGGGTCACCCAGGTCCAGCGGGTCATCCAAGTCTGGGTGATGGGTTGCCTGGGTTGTCCAGATCTGGGTGATTTTAGCAACACTGGGTCTTCAAATTTCTCACACTGGGTCACCTTGGTCATAACATAAAACATGTCACCTTGGTCAAGTGGGTCCTCCAAGTCTGGGTGATTTTTCTTTCACATTTCAACAGTATATACTGGGTTGTCTGGGTAGTTTGACTCTGGATAACCTGGGTCGAGTCGGTCCTCCAAATCTGGGTGATTTTAATCCTTTGCACTTCAGCTGAAAACACTTGGTAACCTGGGTCCAGTGGGTCATCCAAGTCTGGATGATGGTTTCTTAGCATTTTAGCAATAGTTATTAACTAAATACAATAAAAACTGGGTTGCCTGGGTCTTCAAAGTCTGGGTGATTTTTTCCTCACATTCCAGCAGGAGTTAAATGCTGGGTCATCTGAATTACATGTAAGTGGGTCATACAAGTCTGGGTGATGATTCCTTCACATTTCTGTGTTACAGCTGTGTATCATTAACACCTTACATGCAGAGTTTCAACTCTAGAGTGCCTTATCTTGAGTTCAGTACCATAGCAAATGTCCGCATTTTCACCCCTTGCATACTTGATACATGTATTTTGAAAAACATATCTAGTTTTTGAACAAAAACGTACTCACTACCAATAGCCATCTGAATAATCAATTATTAAGCAGATCTTTTCCCCTAGTTTTACACTGACTTAATTATAGATATAGTTGCTGCCTAAAAATGGCATACCAAAGACTTTTGTGTTTGATAATAGAAGGTTTACTTAAAGGAGCACGTCGGCAGAACGTAATAAACCTGCGCGAAACCCGTAATGTATTGTGCATAGCACTTCAGCAGAATGTAACAGTCTCATACAAGGTCGTATTCGCTTATATAAGGTTAAAATTTCGACAGTAGTTTCCAAATGTTGTGTCAGAAAAGATGTTTTTGTACATTTGAAAACTGATGAAAAAGCATTCCAATAGTACCACTATAATTGTACCTACAGATGTCCTTCCAGTCTTATACATGTACAAACTAAATGATCACAGTCAAAGATCTGTTGCTGCCAGGGGCAAATTTACATAGATGTAATCTCTTTTTCTGTTTTAAGCCCTCCTTAAAAGTAGCCTGGATTCCATCCTGGTTAGTTTACGTCCGCTCCCACAGTCAACCATGGTGGTAGCGACTGTGGGAGCGGACGTAAACTAACCAGGATGGAACCCAGGCTACCTTAAAAGAGTACATGTACATCAATCAGGTTTGCCGCCAGGAGTGTGATTTAGTCAGGCTATCCTGCTGGTTACATGTTTAGAAGTTTGTTTTTAAATTTCCTGTAGGGGAGAAAGTGTTGCAAAACAGAGTGGATGATGATGATGATGATAACATTGTGTTGATCACAATTATAAAAAGTGGACGTTTCTAGACTAAGTAACGCTGAAGAGTGATTTTGTAACACTCAAAATGTCCCCTAGTAATCTTTGTATTTTACCCAGTAGCACTATAAAAGTTTGAATTGTCTAATAGGACAATGCAAGGAGAAATGTTGTTTTAGGTGCAACTGGTCTTAACGAGAATAGATGTTAGTTCCGTTTGTTGGAATATGTTAGAATCTAGTTGTAAGTATTTATGTGGTACCGACGCCAATGGTGCCTTTTATAGACCTCAACATCACACATGTTGCAATAATATAGAAGGACTGAAAGTTGTCAAGAGAAAAAGATATGCTGTCATGATAGTACTGGAAGTTTGTTTACTCTAGCAGTGGTTTTGTTTCGCAGTAGGAAACAAAAGAGGTTTCTGGAGTTTCGATACTTTAGTTTGAACAATTTTGTATTACATTTGACATACATGTAAATATCTGTGGTGTCATTGTCGTCACTGCAGAAAACGTGTAAATGAAACCACTGCAAGAGGTTCAGGAAGTAGTGTTGTAGTTGGAGAGGCAAGAAAACATTGTGTTATTAACTGCACATGCATCTTGGCTTTTCCCTAGGTTAGAGCACAGGACAAGATTACAAATTGTTATAGTGCTAAATAAAGTCAATGTTATACATGTACCATTTAAGCAGAATTATCGTGCCTGTGTCAGTATTCCACGAATAGTAGTATTTCACCAGAAGTGGGGCCACCCCAGAGGAGCTGTCCAAATTTTCATGCAATACACTTGAAAAAAAAAACATTGAACGACTGTTCTTTGCCAGATTTGTGAGATGGATGAATGAAAGTGAGTGAGTGAGTGAGTGAGTGAGAGTGAGTGAGAGAGTGGTTGAGTGAGAGTGTGTGAGTGAGTGAGAGTGTGTGTGTGTGAGTGAGAGTGAGTGAGTGAGTGAGTGAGTGGGTGTGTGGGTGAGTGAGAGTGAGTGGGTGGGTGTGGGTGAGTGAGTGAGAGTGTGTGAGTGATTGAGAGTGGGTGATTGAGAGTGGGTGAGTGATTGAGAGTGGGTGGGTGAGTGAGTGGGTGAGTGAGAGTGGGTGAGTGAGTGTGGGTGAGTGAGTGAGAGTGGGTGAGTGAGTGGGTGGGTGAGAGTGAGATTGGGTAGGTGAGTGAGAGTGAATGAGTGGGTGAGTGAGTGAGAGTGAGTGAATGAGTCTGAGTAAAAAGGCCTGACATGATTATTAATTGGGAATAGAAACCTTCTTGTGCTGCCAATTGATAGGACCTACATGTACATATATAGAATATATAGAATGTCACTTCTACCTTTCTGTTGACCTCGATTCGGGGTCGTCCGGACCAGTCTTGTATATTGTACAAAGATCTAAAGTCTGTTGATGAATAACCATGAGTACGCAGAACTGAGCGCGTGAGGCTAGCGGCGGAGGTTTCCAGGATAATTGTCTGGGAGGCGGGGTCCAGGCTTGGGGACGTCCGCTTGCGTACGCGTGTGTACATGAATATGTACGTACGCCTACATGTGCACGTACAATGTACCCGGCTGTTATATTTTTATCAGCCCACGCACAGGTTTACGGCGGCGATTTAGCCATCCTCATGAAGTTTAAGTTTTTAAGAGTATGCCTTATATGTAAGTGCGTTAAAAAACGCAGTGAAAATATGTATGGTTAATATATTTTCCAAGCAGAGGTTTGGGTTTGGGGTTATTTTTGGCGTGTTTGTAGGATTTTTTATCGGGGTTTCTCTTTTGCACTGTTTTTTTTTTTTACCCAACCCAACTTGGGTTGGAAACCCCGATTAAAAATCCTACAAACACGCCAAAAATAACCCCAAACCTCTCTGCTTGGAGAGTATGGTTAATATGCTTTGCACTCACACCGCGACCTCGGTCGGGTATTTTGTCTATATTAGTTGCCGTTGACCTCCCTTTCCGGTATGCTGCTGGGATTCTTCCTTGTGTTTAAAGAAAGAAAAAGGAAAATAGCAGTTTCTCAATTTTTCTGTCGCACAATTCTTGCTATGTCCTGATCACGTAAAAAATCAAGAGAGCAAACAGCATAAAAAGTACGTAGTAGAAAACCCTTTTAACTAGGGACCCTTAAGGAACCCTTAAGTTAACTAAGGACCCTTAAGGAAAATGTACATTGCTTGTTTGTGCCCCAACCAATCAATATTACATAATAAGTTTAGGGTTTTCAGTTTGCTTTCCCATCTCGTTCATTCTTTGAAAACAGACATAAGCCTGAATGTGCTGATGTCATTCTCAAAGTCAGAATTCTAACAGCGTATACTGCGTTAAGGCTTGGTTTAACAACAGGTTAGAATAAGAGCTTTTGATGGTAGTCTTAAATCAAAAATAATTCAACTATGTGAATGGAAAAAAAACCTCTAACCTCCAAATGCGTTATTTTTATTATGTATATATATGTACTTAATTAATCAGATTGAAATAGGTTAAGTTTTTATGATTGTTATTGTATTTCATATTGTATTGAAATTATGTGCCCTTTGTGTTTTGTCCTTATATGTTGACTCTCTAATATCAACTTTGCTGCCTTGAGAGTCAGTGTAATGTCTTGTTGCATTTTCAATAAATAAATAAATAAAAAACATTTGAAAGCTGTCCTTTCGCAGAAAATATGTAGGAAAAATAAATAATCTGCTTCAGCCCTTTGTTGAATAGTAATGATGGTCCGGCCAGACTTCCTTTCTTTTCATTTCCAAATGGTCTTCGTCACCTCGGGCGACAGTTGACATGGCTATATGCGGGTCAGGAAGTTGGAGAGACCGTTCCCAGAACAATCGCCATGTTTGCAGCGTCCGCAGAACACACCGGGAGCACAGTACAGGTGCGTGGATATGTGAGGCTGTACACATAATCCGGCAGCGGCTACAAGTTTTTAAACTGCACAGTAGTCAAATCACCAGTTTTTTTACAGCTTTGGAGGATTCTGTTACTGTTACTACGGTGAACCAGATCAATCGAGGCTCAAGACAATTTTCGTGTACTATAGGAAGACCGCATTTGAAAAGGCAAGACTGACTTCAGCTCGCATCTTACCTTACCTAGTATTGGTAGAAACCGTGCCACGCGTTTAATCATTCGGTTGCCTGCATCTACAATTTTTGGTCAGGCTAACCTGTACCGGACAGTGTTGGCTCGACAATGTCGGGACTTGTTTTGTTACTTGTGTTCGCGCCTCGTCTTGTCGGCTGTTTGTCGTGTGTTGATCTTGGATGCTGTGACGCCAGCGGTGGCGATCCTCCCACGACGATCAACTGCACCACGGCCGGACATCTTCGAGGAATTTCCACCGCCTTGCCCGACCGTCTGAAGGTCCTGGTCCTGGAGTATCAGATCATCAGAGTTATCAAGCGTCTGGACCTGCCCTATCTGCCCGACCTCAGGCTTCTGGCCATCAAGAACAGCCGGCTCGCTGCGGTGCACGCAGGTTACAACTTGTTCTTTATTTATTGCTCATCATTTTGCAAATGTACAACAG